ATTGGAAGTCCTGACCCTTTTTATTACTTTCTTTGTGGTGGAAATGATTTGGTCTGACAGGATCTAATCACAATGCCATGGGTGGGTTGGAGGTTAGGGGTTAATATGCTATATGCTCTCTGCTCTTTACAAGCAATATTAAATAGTAAGAGTGCTGAGAGAGAGAATTCTTATAAGAATTTTGCAGGCATACTGTATTGTTGTGATAAACTTGTGAAATACAACTTTCTTAGAAAAAATTGTAGAATGATTTAATGAAGAATACTAGTATAATTTGCTGATGCCATTTGCCTCCTGGAAAGCTGGGGGAGAGTCATTAATTTTAGGGGACTTCCAGAGCAAAGAAGAATTGGACCAAGAAGCTTACAGAAGTATACTAAGCAAAGGAAATTTTGTTACCAATCCTCAATGAGCATTTAACTCAGAGGCTTGCTGTGAGGATTATATGAATTATTCATGAAGAAGCACAGCACAGTGATTAAGAAGATAAGCATCAGAGTTAAGTAGACTTAAATTGTACTTCAGGTGATCTTGAACTATTTAAACTTACAAAGCTTCAGAAATGTTTTACTCTGTAAAACAGGGATAATAATAATACCTTAACAATAAGATTCTTTAGAATTATTTGAACCACTTCATGGAAAATACAGAAACTTTGCAATTACATAGTTCTGTTTACAATGAACCCTTGACAGCATTTATGCTCTGATTTTCAATATATATTACATCTACATGCATTACAAACTCCACCAGAAAATGCTGTGTTTTGCTTTAAAAAGTATTATGTATTTTAAAGAAATTAAAAGGGAAAACAGTCTTTTATATTTATCCAGATAGTTCCCATTATTAATCTTCATCCTGAATGCCCAAGTTTCCCTTGGTATCATTTCACTTTAGCCTGAAGAATTTCCTTTAGTGTATCTTGTCGTGTGTGTCTGCTGGCAACACATTCTCTTAATGTCCTTCATCTAAAAATGTCTTCATTGCACCATCATCCTTGAAAGATGTTTCTGAAAGATATATATATATATATATATATATATATATATGTAGTTTTACCTTTTTTTTTCTTTAAACACTCTAAAGATTTTGCTCTGCTGTTTTCTATCACTCATAATATTTTCTGGGAAACCTGTGACCCTTAGAATTGTGGTTCCCTATATGTAATGTGTCATTTTTCTGTAGCTGCTTTTAAGATTTTTTTTGGTTTTCAGCAGTTTAATTATGATGTGTCTAGGCATAGTTTTCTTTGAATTTATCCTGTTTTATGTTTTCTGAGCAGCTTGAATCTGTAAATTTATGTTGTTGGTCAAATTTTCGTAAGTTTTTTTGGCTAGTTTCTTTAAATAGTTTTCTCTAATTTTTTCTACTTCTGGGCTCCAATTATTTGTATATTAGACCTTTTGATATTGTCCTACATGTCCCTTGGGCTCTGTTAATATTTTTTCCTCATGCTTTTTCATATTGGATAATTTCTATTGATTTCTGGCATTTTTCTCTGTTAAGTCCATTCTGCTGTTAGGCCTAGCCAGTGAATCTTTTTATTTCAGGGACTGTATTTTTCTTAAAATTTCCATTTGAATCTTTTATATTTGATTCCTCTGCTGAGTTTTACTATCTTTTCATTGATTACAAGTATATTGTCTTTTATTTCATTGAACATAGTTCAATATTAGCTGCTTTAAAGTCATTGTCTAATAATCCCAACATTTTTGTCATCTGGAATTTAGCTTCTCTTTACTTTTTCCTTTGACACTAGGTCTCACTTTCTTGGTACTTTTAATGTCAAGTAATTCTGAATTGTGTGTTTGGCATTTATGAACATTGTTTTAGAGTCTCTGGATTCTGTTTTATTTCTCTGCAAAGTACCAGTGCTTTTGTTTAGCAAGAAATTAACTTGGTTTGAAACAAACTGAAGATTTTGTTTTGCTTGTAGTGGGTAACAACTCAAATCTTGCTTCAGTTCTTTTAACTGGAAGAGTAGTCGGTTTTTTATCTGAGCTGCTTGCATTCTGCCTTTATGTTATTCAAATCAAAATAGGGTTTAAAAAAAATTTGTTTTTATTGAATGATTTTTTAAATTCTATAGTGCTTTACAATTTTCAAAAGTTTCACGCAGATGATTTCATATAATCTCATAATAACCCCCTTTTTCCCCTACCCCTATTGCCCCTCTCCCCACTGATAACCAACCACAAATTTGTTCTCTATATCTGAGTCTGCTTCTTTTGTTGTTTTATTTTTTATAGTTTGTTGTATTTTTTAGATTCCACATATATGTGATATTATACAGTATTTGTCTTTCACCATCTGACTTATTTCACTTAGCATAATGCCCTGCAAGTCATCCGTGTTGCTGCAAATGGCAAAATCTCATCCTTTTTTTATGGCTAAAGAGTATTACATTTTATGTGTGTGAGTGTGTGTGTGTGTGTGTGTGTGTGTGTGTGTGTGTATACCACATCTTCTTTATCTGTTTATCTGTTGATGGACCCTTAGGTTGCTGCCATATCTTGGCAATTGTAAATAATGTTGCTATGAACATTGGGTGTATGTATCTTCAAATTAGTGTTTTTGTTTCTTTCAGCTATACATCCAGGAATGAAATTGCATATGTCTGAGTTTTTATACAGAGTTTAGAGTTCCCCTCTCTGGTTCTGTTTTGGAATTCTTGCCTCATTCTCTAGCTGCCCAGGGCTTTTCAGGCCAGAAAGATAGTGGGCTTTCTATGATAGTTTTTATCACTCTTAATTGCACCAAAATTTTGATCTGTCCATAGGTCAAAGCTACCAGAAAATGGGAAACTCACTCTTTGTTGGTGACTAACTCCACATTTTGACTTTGCCTGCTTCTGTTCACTCTCTTGACCCCTCAGGGTTTCGTTATTTATTTATTTTTGTTTTTGTATTTTGTCTAGAGTTTATAGTTGGTTTGTTTGTTTTGCAGTACGTGGGCCTCTCACTGTTGTGGCCTCTCCCGTTGCGGAGCACAGGCTCCGGACGAGCAGGCTCAGCTGCCATGGCTCACGGGCCTAGCCACTCCGCGGCATGTGGGATCTTCCCAGACCGGGGCACGAACCTGTGTGCCCTGCATCGGCAGGCGGACTCTCAACCACTGCGCCACCTGCCAAGCTGGAGAATGGAACAGAAAGGCCACGTCTTTCTGCTTAAACACATATTCATTCATTGTAATAGGTACTACAGTTTATACTGAACACAACTAGGCTAGCTGTTCCTCTGGGGAAGGTAGTTGCAAGTTAATATTTCAATTGCACTGTCCCTATACTTTAAGATTTTCTTAAAAACATCAGCTGCCAGTATAAATTAAATATAGTTTAAATCAACATAATTCTATTTATCCTAACAAGGAAGTGTTTTTTTTTAAAACGACTCATTGTCTAATTTTTTCACAGAAATAATCTTTGCATATTTTTATACCACATACACGAGGTGATTGGGATTCAGTCTCTATCAGAAAAATTCTTTTATGGTATCCTTCCTATGGCATTCCTTTGTCCTCTGTAACAGAAAATTACCAGCAGAAGCATTTCTCCTTCACCCAGTTCTGGTTCTCTTATCACAATTCTATCCCTCTACCCTCCCTTCCTGCCCTGCTTGGGAATTTGAGAGGACAGGGAAAGATTACTAAAAGTTTGCCCTCTGTCCAACACCACTGCATCCAACAGTATATGTGTCTAATCTTTTCACACAGTTAACAGTTCCTTCCCCATTTCCTCTTTTATACTGTTTTTGTGTGGACAATGGATTAATGCCAAAAGTGATTTTCCCCTTCAGACACTTCCAGACCACAGAGACTTTAATCCAACTCACAGTAGGACTGAAAGTTTCAGCTTCTGTTCTAGCGCCCTTTCTACAATGCTGGGCCAGGGGTGCAACGGAAATAGAATGATGATGAACATTAACTTTTTCCCTATCTGTTTTATACTTTCCCTATTACCCTTCCCATACCAATCACTTGCTTACTTCTCAGCCTTGCTTCCTATATCCTCCCCTTCTACAGCCACCGTTTTTGAAGTTGTATTAGAAACTGTTGATATATATTAGTCCATTCCATCCTAACGACCCCTACGGAGACAGTAGTAATACTACTTACATTTGAGTATTTTCTATGTATCAAGCATTATTTTAAGCATTTAACATGTATTAACTCATTTAATCTCTGAAGCTATTATTATTCCTATTTTAAAGATAAAGAAGCTGATGTTCCATGCCTTGAATTACACTGCAAATAACTGGCAGAGGCAGGATTTGAATGCATGACTAACTCTAAAGCAGCCTTTATGATTTAATGAACAACTATTTAATCATTATTTTCAGCCCCTAATCCGGTGAACATTTTGCCATCTCATCTCTCATATCCTTATCCTTTACGCGTCCCTATGTTCTCTTCCTCCCTTCCTCATTCCCCAAGTCCCTCTGCCCCCTCATCCTACAGTTTGCCCACGTTCCTTTATTACTCTGTCCTCCCACTTTCCCTGATCTCCACATTCCTGTCACAATCCTCCCCGTCCTTAAGGTCCTTGTCTCTTTCTTCTCTCGAGACGCTCGTTCATAACATTCCCTGTTTCCTCTCTCTTATTTTTAAAATGTCCCCTCCTTCCGGAGCCCTGGTCACTCCTGCCTCACGGAATCCCCTCCCCTCCGGTGCCGCCCTCTCACTTTCCCATCGACCAGCGGAGGCACCGCGGACACAGCTGGCGCGGCGCGTGGGGGCGCGGGGGGTCACAGCGTGTGTGGCGCGTGGGGGGCAGGCGTCTGAGGGCGCCGCGGGGTCCTCCGGCTCCCCGGCAGCCCCCGCGCGCGGTGCAAGCTGGGGGAACATGGCCGCTTCCGGTCTCCCTCCTGGGCCGGCGCGGGCCTGACCGCGGCCCTTGCCAGTCGCACTCCGCCCTTCGTTTCTCCAGCCCGGCAGCCGCGGAGGTCGCTGCAGGCTTTCCCTCCCGCCGCCTCCGCCGCGCCATGGAGAAGAGCTCGAGTTGCGAGAGTCTTGGCTCCCAGCCGGCAGTGGCACGGCCACCCAGCGTGGATTCCCTGTCCAGGTAACCGGGACGCCCAGGGCCTCGCCCAGCGTCCGAGGGGGATGAAGAGGGGCCGGGGCCTCGCTGGATAGTGCCCCAGCTCGCCGCCTCTGGTTCCAGAAGACTGCGCCGGAATTCCTTCCCTAGGACTGGGAACGTCTTCTTTCTCCCTCTCTGGGGGTTAGAGGCTGGGAAAGAGGGGGTTAAAACTCACTGCTTCTTTTTCGGCTCCTCTACTTTTTGTATTCCGAGGTCGTTTTATCCGCGGTTGGGGAAGCCCCGGTTCATTACATTCTCTAATCTTTCATTCTTAATTCATTTTTTGTATAGCCCTCGCCCCATTTCCTCCCTGCCTTTCTCTCTTGACCACTCTTT